GCCGCGGGCCATGATTGGCCCCTGGGCCAGACTTTGGACATGCCTGCTCTAGAGCCTCTAGAGTACAAAAGGGGATCAAGAAATAGAGAAAGAGAGGTGGCTCTCTCTGTCGATCGCCTTCTGTACTCTTTGTGTGGTGGGGGGCTTGCAAAAATGCAGAAGTACAACCTTAAGTACGAGCAACAGCCCTAGAGCCAGCTTAAATTTTTGCATCATCCAGCAGATTTGAGCTGGGAGATGAGCTGGGAGATCTGGGAACTGGTAAGATGGAGGGAATAGTTCATTTACACATACTACCCACTTTGTTACAATACAAAGCTGGTTGGAAATTGTCAAAACATCCCTTTAACGACTGCATATTTACACATCAAGCCATTTCTGACATATGAGTGATGCATTTCTTATCACAAATGAGGAGAAACGACTGGAGGAAAGAATCTGTCTTGTTTTGTGGTTAGATAAAGAAAGAGCATGATAAAAGCATCCAGCTTGTCATTGACATTTGACACACTTACGACGCAATCAACAAACAATGTGTCTCAAGTCAGCTGCCTTCGCTGCTCTGATCTTCAAATCAAACTGATTATGGCGACTGACATCAAGCAGCATTCCGCAAACAAACAACCTCCACTTTCTTTTTTGCCTCCGTAAACAAAGACTCACTTTTTGTGCGTCTGTGTGAAGGCGTTTGATTAGCCACAATTACGGCCGCAGCACCGGCTTGTGTGATTAGTTTGACTCGAGGCTGTTTTTGTGTGCGCTGTACAAATGATCAGCGCTGGGCTAAACCTGGACCGGCGTAGAAATGTTGTGTCTAATTACAGCAGCCAACCAACCAACCTGCGGTGCCGCTCACCTGACGAGGAAAAAGTGTAATTAATTACCTCATTGAGGCGACTCAGGGAACCATGAAGGTAAAACTGTTTGGCTTCTAATCGGCTCAGCAACAGAGTTTGCTTCAGCATGAAAAGAGCATGTTTAAACATTCTTTCAGAGAACAAAGGTTATTAGGTTTAACAAATGAAGCAGTGCAATTAAGACTTCTGTTCTGTGTTGTGCGCCAGAAATCACCTAAGGGAGTGCTGTTTTTTTTTTTGTCTATCTCTTATTTGGGATGTAATAAGTTGGATGTGTGTGTGCAGCATGTCACATTCTTTCCTGCCACCTCTCCAGACAGGACACAGACCTCTCCTCCTGACAACTTGGACATAATAAGCAGCCATTTGATAAACTGCTGCTCACCGCTGACACACTATAAATCTTAATGTGCACAATAAAATGAATAACGATGGGGTTGAGCCTGCGCGTCGTCCAGAGAGAGTGTTTATTTATATGATATTAAACATGCCAGACGGCCCGTGGCTCAGGGTTTTATCATGTAAGGCTCCATTTTTATTGCCTCAGTCTGCTGCATGTCTGCCTATCAATGGATTGCCCTGCTCAGCTGTTGTGGTCCGCCACAGAGCCAACATTAATAGTTTTGATCCTAATTCCTACATTTGCCACTAGAATAGCCAGAAGTTATCTCTTGTGTAATGTAATCGCTGGTGAGACGAACCAAAGTCAGGATGTAGGATTTCCCAACGCATATCTCATATAACAGATCACCGCTCTGACCTCTCACTGCCTGCACTGACAGTTGTGACTGTTTCTCAGTGTAATTCTCAGCCGACGCTGCTGTTGTTATGCATCATGCATTTGTGCCTTGCACTCAGAAATGCCCGCGAGTCCTCAATCAAGGATAGAGAGGACACTTAAAATACAGCCGGGTGCTCCTCAGGATCATTACGGTTCATCCCAAGTGTCTCTGCGCTCCTTCCTGCTCGGCTCTGCTTTCAGCTAAATGCTGTCTGGAGGGTAAGCTCTGACAGGAGTAATTCACCAAAGGGCTAATTACACCGTACTCGTGGCGTGGTGTGTCCTGTGTTTAAAACTGAGCATTTGGCCCATAAATAATGTCCTGTGCGGCTGCAGTACAGAATATCTATAAACTATCTGTGAAATCAAAGTCTGGGGAAACATGGAAATGGTTATAGAGTAAAAGCTGCAATTAGATTAGTTATCACCTATTAAATTAATCACCAACTAATTCGATGAACGATTAATCTGTTTAATTTTTTAAAGGAAAAAAAGTCAAATTCTTTCATTTCAGCTCCTTAGATGTGGATATTTCCTTGTTTCTTCACTCCCCTATCATAGTAAACTGAATATATTTGGGTTGTGGACAAAAAAAGACATTTGAGGACTTCATCATAGGCTTTGGGAAACACTGATCGACATTTTTCACAGTTTTCTGGCATTTAATAGACAAAACAACTAATATATTAATCGAGAAAATAATCAACAGGCTATTCAACTAAAAATTGTTTTTGGTTGCAGCCCTAACTGAGAATTTAAGAACCGTGATTTGTTTCACTAGGGATGCAAATGTCAGTCTTTCAGTCCAACACAAGTTCAGACATAAATATTCTGAATTTTTGAAGAATTTTTACACAGACATTCGTGGTGCCCAGAGGATGAATCCCTCTGACTTCTGTGATCCCTTAACTTTTCCTTCCACATCATCATCAGCTCAAAATCTTACTTGGATTTAGAGCTGTAACGACTGATTTATACTATCATCAAACTATTAAATTAATCGCCAACTTATTTAATGACTGATCAATCGGTCTGAGTATTTCTTTTTTTAAAAAGGCAAAATTCTCTGATTCTCCTTCTTAAATATGAATATTTTATGGTTTCTTTACTCCTCTATGACAATAAAGTAAATATTTTTGGGTCGTGGGCAAAACAAAACATTTAAGTACGTCCTCTTGGGCTTTGGGAAACACGGATCAACATTATCTTTTAACAGAGTAGTTAAAATCATTGTTGATTGCAGCCCTAACTGAGAGCTATTATGTAATGAATTTTTATACAGACATTCATGGCGCCCAGAGATTGAATCCCCTGACTTTTCCTCTGGTACCATCATCAGGTCAAAATGTTACTTTGATTCATGACCAAATACCTGCAAAACTAAGAAAATTTCCCATCAGACTTTGCATTTAGTGCTAATTAGAAAATGTAAAGACTGTAAACAGGGTAGACATTAAACCTGTGAAATGTCAGCATGTTAACATTGTCATTGTGAGCCTGTCAGCATGCTGACGTCAGAATTCGCACAAAGCGGCACTGTGCTTGTGCAGCCTCATAGAGCTGCTAGCGTGACTGTATAGTTATCACAGTTCAGGGATATCACTTTTAAAGGGCAACATCGCCCATTTTCAAAAGTCATACACATTATTCCTTTGGTTTAAGAAAGTCAAAAGTATTAGTAAGCATGAACAACTCTCTCCCAAAACTAGCAAACAAAAAGAAAAAAAACTAAGTGCTAAAACTTAAATTTGTGTTGTCATAAACTATAGTCTTGAGCTGCTTCATAAACAATGAATGAAAGATGTTCTAGATGACTCTTGAGAGCACCGGGGGAACGTTCTGAGTATATGGGTACATTTTCTGTTTCAGGAGTGAGAACACTGAAACAGAATAAAACTCATCTGGGTATAGAAAAACATTCTGTGGGTCCACAAAATCAGGCTCCCAAACACTGTCTATGGAGCAGCTCCAGACTTTATTCCCTAAGATTTCTCTGGTTTCTGGCTTTGAGAGAGAGTTTCATAGGCCATGGAAATAACATATTGGAATTCTTAATTTTGGTTAATTTGGCTATTCATTTACCCTTATCATTCAAGCACAGTTGAATCAAAGCGATACAGAAAGAACTTCCCGAAGGTTTATTTTAGATCTTCATCAGAGACCCTGTTTGATAAAATTGTATGTTCATTGTAATTTAGCACAGAAAGTAATTTCAAGTGTACTGTAGGTTGCACAGAAGGACAGTAGTTTGGAAGATGACACTAGATACAAGAAAAACATCCTGCAAAATCTCAATTTCACTCACTTAGAAATCAAAGTATTCTTGATTTTGGGTGCCTCGAAAATCCTTCTAGAGTCTCCGGACCCTGACATTGAGAACCACAGGAGAACAGGAAGTATCAGAGGATTTTTGCATATACTGTCAGTAGTTCTGTGAGCCAGCTCAGTGTGAACTGCTCACAACAGATGTGGTGAAACTCTCCATTGTGATGAGTGTGCTTTGATTAATACACCCCGATGAATGCCTTTATTTTTAGCCCGACAGGGCGGACAATGCGGAAACGCTTTTTATTACCCTTCTGGTTGGAGATGAATGGGCAACAGCAGAGAGAGATGTGGCGCCTCCATGTTCATTCATCATTGCCAGATTGAGGTGTAAAGGATGGAGGAGTCACTTGATTAGTTCTATCATTATTCGTACGAAGTTCAGAAGGCAGTCATAGACAAATCGCTAATAGAAGACAAAGTATGTGGAGAGAATGATCCCATTTGGGTTTTACCAATTAAAAAAAATGTTTGAGGAGCAAGGAGTGTCTGGTCAGACATCAGGGGGGAGAAAGTGCTGATATTTCCAGTGCTGAGGTGTCGGGGTCAGTGCCTAACAATATATACTTTCTGCTGGGAACATGAGCTAATTGACTAAACGAGTGCTCTCACATCTGATGTCAAGGTTAAGGCCAAGGAGAGGATGAGCGTTGCATTTCATCGGAGCAGGTCATTAGACTCGGCTTGAGACATGATTATAGCAAGATAGAGTCTGCAGCGCTAATCCTTTTCATGACAGGTGGAAGTATGAAGTCCATTTCACCTGGCGAGGCAGTTTCTGCACCTGCCATAACATTGTTCCATACACTGAGAGCATAGAGGTGGCATTTGTCCTGGTGACCTCTATAAAAGTTCAAATATGAATAAGGACTCTGACATCTGTTTCATGCTGACATAATATGAACCATGAATTATTAATCTGACTCCACTGGAGTGTCTTCCACATGTTATATTCAAATGAAATCTTCCATGTATGGTTTCTGGTTTGCAAGAGCCTGTTCTTATAATCCGCCTGGTGCTTGTGTCTGTCTCTGCAGGAACTCTTTACAGCGGAGTGCAAGTTCAAAGAGTCGGTGTTTGAGAACTACTATGTGATCTACTCATCCATGTTGTACAGACAACAGGAGTCGGGGAGAGCATGGTTCCTAGGGCTCAATAAAGAGGGCCAAGCCATGAAGGGGAACCGAGTGAAAAAAACAAAACCAGCTGCTCACTTCCTGCCCAAGCCATTAGAAGGTACGTACTCTGATAGGGGTGTAGCAATACATCGATCTGGATCGGTGTATCGATTCAGTGATTGACATTCCAATGTTGTAGATGCAAAGTTAAAATGTCATACAGATACATATGTCTGTCCAAGCGCACCTCCTTCTTAAACATTCAGACAGGTACAGGAGAATTTTTACTGGTCTCATATCGACCGCAGTCCCCTCACTGGAATCAAATCGAAATTGTATCATTGCAGCCTTTGTGATATCAGCAAATATTGTATTGTTCAAAGAATCAATAGCATTCTGATGAAACTTGTGATTTACACCTCTATACTGTCAGAGACACTCAGGGAGATTCAGATCAGATAAAAACCTTTTGTAACTGCACAGACGATTAGGGCTAGTTAACTACTTCTACTTCTATTATGCTTTTATTTCTCAAACTTAAAAAAGATTTTTTCTTAAAAATGGAAAGTTTCAGGATAGATGTGGTGGTATTCTGTATTTTTCTTCATGTCAACAGTTTCCATAGAAAGACTGGCCTTCATTCTGATGAATATGGGCACTGTAGCTTATCAATCTCACACTGTTCCACTGCTGTAAGTGCTCACTAGTGCAGTGGTTCCCAACTGGTCCAGCCACAGGGTCCAGATCTCTCCTCAGTCGTTAGTACAAGGTCCACACAGTTTAATATATTCAGTGTCATACTTGTGTTTGGCCATGTCGTCGAGCTAGTTTGCTCAGCGCTTCAAAATGAAGGGTGTTTTCTACAAACTTGACACGTTCGTGAGTCATTTTTGGTTCATTCAGAATGGAGCCATGGCCGACTTTTGGATGGCGACCCACCAATTGGGAACCACTGCACTAGAGTATGGAACTAGAGCGCTGACAGTAAGTTTTGGCATTGAAAATAAAATCTGGCATTGAAAAATTAAGAATTAACTGGAAAAATAAAACACAGCCATTGAAAATTCTTTATCTATTTGTTGCTTTTCAATGTATTTTTCAATGGCATCACCTGATTTTTTTCTTCATGTCTCTTCAGTTTTTCAGTTTCAGCTTTTTTGCCACTGGCTTGACAAGGAGGGTACAGGTTAGAGGGGAAGGGGCAAGGAGAGCGTGAACTGAAGGGGGAAAAAAATCAGGAGATTGTCATTGTAAAACACATCAAGAGTGCAAGAAAATCAGAATAAAATGAAATTATTTTTAATGCCTGTGTGGAACTTTTCTCAGTGCCAATGTTTCCTTTTCAATGCCAAATTTCATTTTCGATGCCAAAACATATTGTCACCCTTCCAGCTTCAAACCAGAGCTGCAGGGTGCCTACAGGTCCTTAAAAAGTCTTAAATCACTTATATTAAGATTTTAAATTATCTTAAATTCAGATTCAATGGATCTTAAATATTTTAGGTCACATTACCACAAAAATGTCTCAAGCCTGACAGAATCCCCCAATCCCAAATGGATCCCTTACCCTTACCCCAAGCCCTTACAGACCTAGGACCAATTCCATTTCTTCCCCTTGGTTTTGAGCGTTCACGTGAGGGGAAGTGGTGTTCCAATTCTCCGTCAGGTTAGCTCTTAACAAGGGCTAAGGGGAAGAAATGGAATTGGTCCTAGGTCTGTAAGGGCTTAGGGCTTGAGTCAACGAGTCTGTAAGGGATCCATTTGGGATTAACACACAGACTGTTTCCAATCACAGGACGGACCGAAGAATTGCAATTATTAATAGCATCTATGACAGCGATAAGATTTTGCTTTCGTTTTACATTAAACACATTAAACTTAAACTCACCCGATGGTTGTAATTTTTCCTTTTACTGTTAATTTGAACTGACATCAGGGTGTTTATTTGGAAAGAGTACTTACACATGTGTCACACACTCACACACACACACACACACACACACACACACACTCACACACACATATATATATATTGTTTTTCATTGCAGGATTGGTCTTAAATTTCATATAAGGTGGTATTAAGAAGGTCTTAAAAAGTCTTAAATTTAACTTGGCTATATCTGTAGACACCCTGTGACAGTGCCCAGCTGTTTAAGAAAATTACTAAGCCTTTTTAAAAATCAAAGTACACCTTCATGACCTCCTTTTAAAGATTTACATCCGTATTAGGAGCCAAGAACGTAAGGATGAGTTGCAACAAATTCAGAGATGAGCTTTTAGTCTTTTCATGAGATTTGTTGACATGAAGAAAAAGTACTGAATATCGTCAGCTGTATACTTTAAATGGTCAGGTCTGAGCTGTGCTTGGTGGACAAATTCCTGAACACAACCATCACACTGAGGTGGCAACAGCAATGGATTTCTCATATTTCAGACTTGGGCAGCTTCCACTTGCCGTAAGGGATTTATTTTAATAATTCAGTGTTTTGGTTGACCTTTGAAAAAATAGGTGAAAGCCAAATAACTAAGACATAATACAAAACATATAGTGTAATATAAGCAGCATAAAAACATACTTTAACAGTTTTTACTTTTGTTTTAACTTAGGGGGACTCAAGGGGCAACATTTCCTCCCCATTTTCTCTGCACTTTTTAGCGCCTGGAGGAGTTTTGCAGCTGTCAACATTGCCACAGACCTTGTTACTGTAAACAATGGTGTCTTTTCTTGCAGCGGGAAACATAATGTTTAGGTGGAGACATAATTAGATCTGGGTGAAAAACAGTCAGAGCTGAAAACAATGAGCACAACTACCCTTGTTATATTACAAGACAGATGCCCCATACCATGAGGCATGATCCTGTAGTAATGGTATGACTGTGTGAAATATCTGTGTTTGACATATTTTTCTATGTATGCACTAATTCAGTGTTTTGCTGCTGTAAGCATACAGTGTAGGAGACAGGACAGCTCTGTATGTGGCTGTGCAGTATGAAATGATGATAGTCCAGCAGATGCCACCGTCACTCTCGTCAACCACCAGCCTGATTGCTTCCCATCATTTAAACATGGAATCAAGTTGAAGTGTCCTGTCAAGACAGCTGTAGTCTAGTGGTTGTAAAGTGGAGGATAACGAGACACTTTTCGCTGTTTTGTTGAAAAGCATGTGCTTAGATTCAGAATCAGCCCTGATGGAGGCTGAAGCAGGTCAGGATGGGAGCAAGAAGCCCATCGGCAAACAATGTTAGCAGCTTTTTTTACCGTTTGTAAACTCCAAGATGTCTTCTTTGAATGTTTGGGAGAATTTTTGTGTGTATAACAAAATTTTTTTAAGAAAGGACAAAACAGCAAGAATTGCTGGGGGATAGATGCTTCTTAAAGGAACAGTGTGTAAGATATAGGGGATTTAGTGGCATCTAGTGGTCAGAACTGCAGACTGCAACCAGCTGAAACTCCTCCCTGATAAATTTCCTCTTGTGTTCATTGTTCAGAAGGTTTTTACTGGGAACCAAATTATCTACAGAGGTCTCTTCCTCTCAAAAACAAACAGACCTGGTGATTTCGCGTAAGAGCTGCTATCTACAGTGGCCAGTGCCAAAATGCAAGTGGCCCTACCTACAGACACTGTTTGCTTTGTCTGTAGCCGCTGATTTAAACCAGTAAAAACAGAATAAAGCAGTTTCACATCACAAATGAGTGTTTCTCTGATGCTGTTTGGCATTTCGGAGACAGGCTGCTAGCCTGCTCATTTTTTTCTTTGATGACTCAAGATTTTAGATGATTCAGGCGGTTTTAACCAGCAGCCAAATTATTCACCAAATTATGTCTTTTCCTCTCAAAAGAAAACAGACCCGGTGATTTAAACAGGTAGAAACACTGAATAAAGCAGTTTAGCTTTAAACGAAAATAAAAAAAATTAAATGCTGTCGTCGTGAAGCGGTTCGAACTATGGTGGCTGATGCAAAAATGCAAATGGCCTTGCCTAGAGCTAGTGTTTGGTTTGTCTGTTCTGGGCTACTGTAGAAACATGGCAGTGCAACATGGCGGATTCTGTAGACAATGACAAAGACTATTTAAATAACCCTGGGACACTGAGATATGACACATGAACAGTGTAACTAGATCTGCAGTGAAGGGTAACAGCAGACGGTGCTAGAAACAAAGAGACTGTGTCCACTGAGATGCTCTTTGGGTGCGCTTGGCCTGACAGAACTTTTAGGTACACTCAGTTGGATGGTGGCTGATATTCAATTGGGCGTTTGCATATAGAAAGCATTCGTTTATGGTCTTTTATTATGGACTTTTTCAGTAAATACAGAATTATAATCCTCAACTGTATTTTTATTTTGTGTACAAAAATATTCCAACATTAGGCACACTGCAGACGCCTCAGTCAAATGAATCAACCATGCCCCATGTTGTATGGTAGTGCGCCAGCTATTGAGCCTTTCCACAGGTGCAGGCAAGATTTCACTGTGCATGTGTTATACCTCATTGGTATGACGTAATCTGACACCATCACTTCTCAGGCTGGGAATTACCAGAGCTCCATGATACGATATTATCATAATACTTTAGTCGCGATATAGTATTTCTGCGATTTTAAACAAGTTTTGATAAAATATTTTTTGACTTTGTTAACATCTGTATGTAGTGGACATAAAAGGCAACTGATTATATTATTTAAGTAGGCTACCTAAAGTTTAGTTTGTATTTGTAATATTAAAAATGTATATAATTAAAAAATCAATACTTTGCGCTGTGACGATACGATTTTGCCACAAAAAAATTTGGCGATACTATGCTCGATACTATGTATCGATTTTTTTTCCCTTCACCCCTAGTGATTTCTCCTCTGATTAACCTCCTTGATAAGGACCCACTCCCTATGTAGATATAAACAGCTCATTCTAAGGTGATGAAAACACAATGAGTCTCATTTTCAGGTGATTATTACCGAAAGAAAATACATTTATTATATTATTTTCCATTTCTGCCAGTATACTCCCTAAATCCTACACACTGGACCTTTAAATGTTGTTACAGGTAAACTTAAAAGTGCAGTAAAAAGGTTCTTGCTAACAGCTTTTCTCTTGTCTCTGCTTTCTCTCCTTGTCGTCTGCTCCTGCAGTTGCCATGTACAGAGAGCCATCGTTGCATGATGTTGGAGAGACAGTGCCCAAGGCGGCAGTACCTCCCAGTAAAAGCACAAGTGAGCCGGCAGTGATGAACGGAGGTAAACCTGTAAGCAAGCCCGACAAGCCTACCACATAGCCACACCTGACCAGTGTGTGTGTGTGTGTGTGTGTGTGGAACGGAGGGGCGAAACGTGACGGAGGCAGGGCTTTTTTTTTCCCGACTAGACTCCAGACCCTTTTTCTTCTGTGGATCAGATCCAGGCGAAAGCTCCCTTCCTCTCTTCTCTCACTCCTCCTTCCTCTTTCTCCACCTCGCCCTCCCTTTTCTCCAGCTGTCTCAACATGGGCGCATGGATTCTGAGGCGGCTGAGTTTCTCCAGCACAGGAGGGAAGAGGACCTCTGATCATGGAATGCCTTTAGATTCCTCTGAAACTGTGAGAATTCATGTGAATAACGCGTTTCACAGCCACGCTCGTGGTACTTTGCTTGCTGACGGTTCATTCAAGAAACCCTCCCCCTCCTCTCTATGATGCCCTGTTGCAGCAGAGTCTGTGTACCTTCAGATCTATTTTCTATACCACAGTTCACCAGCTATGTTCTGGGATAGAGACTGTATAGATAGAGTAAATATTTGGACTGTCGTCCTCTATTTTTTACGAGTATGTTCCCCTCTCCCTCTCTTTCTATCTCTAGTCACACACTTTTCTCTTTGTCAAGTAACCTAGAAAAGATAAAAACATTTTGCAAGGGAGTTGTGTGATTTTCTAAGAAACACATTCACACAGATGTGGCATAAAAACAAACATATATACAAAAAAAAAAAAAATCCAAATTTTCGTCTCGCCTACAACGTGCACACACACTTACAGACACACAAAGTTTGTGGGATAAGAAAAAAAAATCAGAGATGTTGCTTTTTACAGCTGATAAAAACACACTGGAGGCTGGCAGATAGCTCCTGCAATCATAGTTGATGAAGTGCTAATTACCGCCACTGCAATCAATGCGAGGAGCTCCCTACACACATACAAACACACACACACATTTATAAACATGTGTGTGTGGGTGGGAGAGCGCTGTAAGGAATGGTGTATACATATCACTATCTAAGTCCCACCAGCGGTTCAGTCCGCCTTCTCTGGTAAATAGAAAAACCTGAAGTCTATTTTTCTTTAATCTTATTTCAGAGCGTGGGCTCTAGGAATATCTCTAGGCCTTGTAGGCCTCTGTCCCTCACTCACTGACTTCTTTGGACTACGAGGCAAGGCTCGAGGCTTTGACCCAGATGGTCTATAACTGCAGCACTGGCAGCCATCTTATGGCAGCGTCTACTTAAAGCCAGAAAACAACATGGCTGAAAACCAGTAGGCGACATTTATACTGGCTGCATCCCTATTTGGTTCAGCAAACTAAAGCATGGGCAAGGTTAATATTGTGTTCTCTCTTCTTGCAGCAGTTATACAAGAGATGGCTTATATTGTAACATTTTCACTGTATAAAACTTAGGGAAAATGACTATTAAAAATCATAACTTTTTAAATGACTAGATATTATTATGATTATTATTATTATTATTATGAGAGGATTTGTCTCCTAGCTCAGCATGCAGAGTCCAGTACTGATCATCTTGGCCTATCACGTGCCTGTTTGGACCTTGATTCCCGGCATGCAAAAACAGGTTCCCAGTCCCCACTGGGCCAAAGGTGCCTCACCCACCCAATACATCCATGTAGAGGACACGTAGCATTACCCATCGAAAAACCACACTCTCAGATGTATTCATTCTGAAATGACCAAAGTCCTTTTTTCACCCCGAGACGAACTGATTCTTTACAAAAAGACAAACAAATCCGATTCTCTCTGATCCAATCCATCGAAGCTTTCACTGTGATAGCATTTGTCCGAAAGAATCAACTCCGCTCAGACCCCCCTTCCCAAAGGGGCCTTTGACTGATGTCATTTTGGAGAAGTACGTATACCTTGAATTAATCACATGCATGTATTTTCTATAAGGAAACAAGGTATGGGTATCGTTCTTCACTCTGTGTAAACTGAAGAGCACTGAAGTTGGGAGTTGAATGGGCATGTTGTAGGCTACAGCACACTCACAGCTAACCTGAAGGTAACCCACTGCACTTTCTGTTCTGCATCCTCATCCCGACTGTTAGCAGTTTGTCACAGCTCCATCTGATCAATCAATTTTTAACATTTGTCTTGTTTTAACGATTTCCTTTCCTGATAGTTTTGTTAGATAAGATTTAGAATATTAAGTAGATTGTTGCTGCTGTGTGCTGCTAAAGCTGCAATTATATTAAGAATTGATTTGAGTATGATTTTGACTTTATTGGGATTACACATGATCATTTCTTCTTACAGCACATCAAAGCACATTAGTTAGAATTCAATATTTGTCTGTACAAAGCTGTTAATAACAAAAATGGCGTACTATACACACACACATATACAGGAGCTGGAAACCGCTGTAGTTGTAGTTGGGGCTGACGTTCTGTCCTCATTACAGCCAATCATCCTCCACTCTTACAAACTCTACATGCTGGGCTGGCTGCTGCTCCAGCCCTGCAGTCCAGATAACTGGCTCCTCCAAGGCTGACTTTATTTTTGTAAATGACCGGTGTGTAAATGTACATCTCTGTTTGGATCTCTGTAGCCACCGTTCTTTTAGGTTTGTCCCCTTATTTTTCTCTCGTATACGGGTCGTGCGTGATGTCGTCTCCTGATACCAGTCACTTTTTGCTTTGCCCCCTCCCTCTCTTCAGATGTGTTTCAAGAATATTCTAGCAGACTTAGTTTCTTTGTCGCTTCTGTTTTCAACCTCTTATTTTGTACGTTGTCCCATCTGTTGCATGGGGAGAGGATGGCATCGATGAACTGCATGTAGTAGGCTATGTCTATCAAGAACTGTTGGTATGTACCGCTAATTTTACATACATATATGCAACGAGTTTGTCTACACTATACAGTTTGTGTTTGTTGTATACACATATACAACATATTGAATAAAATATTTATATAAAAGGTGTACTGTAATGTCAGTAACATACTTAATGCAATATAGTGTGCAGTATATTATTGCACCTGTCATTTTTTTTGGACGGGACAAAGAAAACAGAGGGGTTGGCTAGTTTAAGCATGAAAAAGGCCAAAGTAGAATTTACATTAAATTTTCTTTGTGACTTCTTATCGGTCCTCTTTTCAAGTGGTGACTGAGCTCTTGTGTCAATGCAGCTCTCATCCCCTGATGCCACCTTTTTGAAGTGACATGGACATCCAGCATGCCACAACTGAACTATGTATGCCCTCTCTTTGTTTCCTCCACATAGAGTTTAACCTTGTCACTAGTGTGTGTTCGAGTGAGGAATGTCCATCACGTACCTTCAGTACAGTGTGGCTTTCATGGCAGATTGTTTGGTTTGATTTTACCCAGTGGAGAAGAATAGGCACTATTAAAATGATTTATTTTCAAAAAAAAATATATATACCATTGCAAGTATGCCCATTGGAGTTATGTCATGTTATAACAAATTTGTAACCATGTATGATTAAGGTCTTCGCATTGTTTTCCATGCAAAATGTTGTGTCATGCGGCACATTTAATGTTTTATTATTAAAAAGAAATAAAAACCTCAAACAGTAACCTCTGCCTCGAGCTTTCAACTTAACTTTTGGTCCAATTTGGGAACAACCAGGGACTGTATAATAAAGATGAACAACATGACAGCTCCCCGAAAGTGAAGTCAAAGCATTTCGATTGTCTCCTGGTGACTGGCTGCAGTATAGGTCATGATGGGATAAGCAGACGGGACTTGGGCCAAACTAAAAGATCAGAGAAGGTAAGAACAAGGTTGGTTGTCACACTTTTTACTTTCATTTGAATCCCTCAAAAACTGTATCCTTAAAAGATTCCCTTTCAGTGTGTAATAGAAGCCTTAAGTGTCAGGTAGGAATGGAGTGACCTTACTCTGCTGAAGCTTATTCTTTTCAAAAGACATGGACTATCATATACGTCTTGTGTGCTTGTGACAGACATCCCCATGGTGTGGTTGGTTGTCCCTATGATATATTAAACAGGTAAGTTTTTATTGGAATAAAACAACCTCAAGCCCAGTTTAGACCAATATTCGCAACTACAGGCAACTAGTTGCAATGCGCCATTCTGCAACGTTCTAAAAAACCTACCAGTTCACACCAGTGCAACAATATGAGATGGTGTATCATCTCTATGCAACAACTCTCTGTACTTCTGTTCTGATTTCCAGCTTTTTTTCAAAAAATATGAATGAGGATAGCGATAGTGAGATACAGGCTACAGCACAGCACATACAGCAAGTAACGACAGCAACCCACCGTCCAACACAGGCACACGTGAGGACGGAAACAGAGGAGAGGATGGAGCAGCTTGAGTCAGGCTCAGACGGCCAGATCACACCTCTGCAACTTTTCACTGCCACGTTCTAAAAGTGTTTTGTCTTGTTGCAAATCACCAGTCTGAAGTGGGCTTTACTCATCTACTGCATCAAGAGAACATAAAATTATTTCTCCAAGTGCATTTTTAATCATTTTAAAACAATATACAGAACAATATGTGTGACAACGAAGAGTGTGACAAGTTCCCGAACTGTGATTGTTTGCTAGTGAATTAGCTACCAACCACATGTTGTAGTCTAGCCAAGAAAAAAGCTAGATAAACTTTACCTTTCCCATCATCCTTTTTAATGGTAATAACTGTTTATTCTGAACCCATTGTATAAAAGCCAAGAACAGAATCAGAGAAGAGCTGGATGTTAACATTTTGACATGACAAAGTCCTCTCAAAGTCAAGTGTCTTTCTCCTGAAATGATCCTGTAGGTGACATCTGACCCACATTTTGAACATTTCCGTACCAACATTTTTTTTAACAGCGCCCTCTAGGGAGTGAGATCTAATGAATGTGACAACCAATCCAAGTGACAGCCAACCCTGTTCTCCCCTACAGGCCAAATAAAAATTTTCCCCAAAGGTGATTTCTGTTGTTTTATGTCGTTCTTATCCATTGATGTTTGCTCAAGTGTTTGCTTTTCTTTAATTAGTTATTTGATGCTGTAAAAAAATTGGTTTGGCATCATGATTGACAGCTGTGTGTGCCAATCAGTGTGCTCATTCATGGCACTGCTTACAATAATTTGGCAGGTATATGGACGGGAACTAGATACCATGGAGATCGCTTATGTGCAAGATGGCGGCGGCAGTATCTGGGATATTTTGGCTTCATCTTTGTACAGTGGGAGAAAGTGGTGATGCATCGTCTGTCTTCTACACTAGATCTACATATTGGTGCAGTATCCCACATACTCTGAAAAAGGCACTTTAATAAATCTCTTTCCATCATTTGAATTTGTCTTGTATTGCATCTTAATATGTGTAGCCATCTGGAATATATAAGCATTCCTACATTTTATTAACAAAAAAATACATAAAGCTCTTTGGAAACAAATGTTTACATGGTAATATGTTTCTTTTACATCTACAATACCCAGTTTTATAACGATCATTTGTAACCAGTACAATAAAAGGAATGAATGCTGTTATTGATACGCAGAAATTAAATCCATGTTTAGCTTTGTCTCCTCCCTCCTCCCGTGGTTCTCCTGGCTGCGGCGTTTTACCAGCCTGGTCATGACCGTCGACGGTGCTCCTGGTCGCTCTGGGCAGCCAGGCCTCTTGTCTCTGAACACCAGTGTCCTCTCCTCCTCAGTACTCTGCTCCCAACCAGATCTCACAAGCGTTCCCCGTCCAGCCATCCCAACACTCGCAGTTGCCGCAATTGCACAACCCATTCCCTGTGAGGAGATGTGAGAAGAAAAGCTGTGAATTAAGAGCTGTGCCATCATGCCTGACCTTTAACAAGGTTCCTCTTTTCACACCCTGCTTCCCTGGGTGCAGCTCTCTGCTGGGGGATGGAGGCTGTCTGCACTGCTCAGGACAGTTAGTGGTTTTCCCACTCCTCCTGCCCACACAGCACAGGAGGAAACTCTGCTTTAATTAAGAGTATAAAGTGAGATATTCACAAAACCTGACTGGTCTTTCTTGTATTATACTATGGTGGGGATACAGAAATGTCAGACTTGACTATCCTTAAAAAAAACTGCCTGTAACAACCCATGTATTTTTATATTCAGTAGCAAAGGAAGAAATATTGTTGTTGGAAGTCTCAGGGTGACATGGATGGATTACTGAACAGGCCTACCAGGCACACACCCAGGGGCCCAAAGTGTCAGAAGCCACCTTGCCGTCTCCTGCATAATGTCACACAAATTAATATGTACCGACCGGGAAGAGACTGACCACAAAGAGATGCAACGAAACACAAAGACACACAAAATGACCAAAAGGTACAAATATACTTCAAAGAGAAACAAAATGACTACAAAGACATGCAAAGAAACTACGAAGAGGCAAAAAATGACCAGAAGACACATATATACCTCAAAGAGACATAAACTGACCACAAAGACGTGCAAAGGAACTACAAAAAGACACAAAACAACCAAAAGAGGCAAGTATACCTCAAAGAGACACAAACTGACTTCAAAAAGACTCACAATTACTACAAAGACATGCAAATGAACTACAAAGAGATGACCAAAGACACAAATATACCTCAAAGAGACACAAAATAACTTCAAAGACACCCAAAACAACTACAAAGGAACATAAAAAGGAACTACAAAGAGAAATAAATTGATCAAAAGACACAAATATAGCTCAGAGACAAAACATGACTACAAAGACATGCACATTTACTACAAAGAGAAACAAATTAACCAAAAGACACAAATATACCTCAAAGAGAAAAAAAGTGACTACAAAGACATGCAAAGGAACTACAGAGACACAAAATGATCGAAAGACACAACTACTGTATACCTCAGAGAGACACAAAAAGACTTCAAAGAGACACAAAAGGACTCCAGAGAGATGCAAAGGAACTACAAAGAGACTCAAAATGATCGAAAGACACAAATATACCTTGAAAAGACACAAAACAACTACAAAGACATACAAAGGAATTACAAAGAGAAACAAATTGACCAAAAGACACAAATATACCTAAAAGAGACAAAAGGTGACTACAAAGACATGCAAAGGAACTACAGAGAGACACAAAATGATCGAAAGACACAAATATACCTTGAAGAGACACAAAGTGACTACAAAGAGACACAAAACAACTATACAGACATGCAAAGGAACGACAAAGAGACACAACATGACTTCAGAAAGACACAAAATGACAACACAGAGATGCAGCGGAACCACAAAGAGACACAAAACAACCAAAAGACACAAATATACCTTGAAGAGACACAAAACAACTACAAAGACATACAAAGGAACTACAAAGAGAAACAAATTGACCAAAAGACACAAATATACCTCAAAGAGACAAAAGGTGACTACAAAGACATGCAAAGGAACTACAGAGACACAAAATGATAGAAAGACACAAATATACCTCAAAGAGACAAAAAGTGACTACAAAGACATGCAAAGGAACTACAGAGAGACACAAAATGATCGAAAGACACAAATATACCTCAAAGAGACACAAAGTGACTACAAAGACATGCAAAGGAACTACAGAGAGACACAAAATGATCGAAAGACACGAATATACCTTGAAGAGACACAAAATGACTACAAAGAGACACAAAACAACTATACAGACATGCAAAGGAACGACAAAGAGACACAACATGACTTCAGAAAGACACAAAATGACAACACAGANAAAGAGACACAAAACAACTATACAGACATGCAAAGGAACGACAAAGAGACACAACATGACTTCAGAAAGACACAAAATGACAACACAGAGATGCAACGGAACCACAAAGAGACACAAAAGATGACAAGGACACTGAAAGTTACCACAAAGAGACTCAAAACCACAAAAAGATGGTTACAACTACAAAAACATGCAAAACAACAACAAAAAGAAGCAAAGCCGGCAGAGAGTCTGTGTGGAGGGGCCTTTTGCGCATCCGTGCCCAGGGACCCACTTGGTTCTCAATCCGCCCATGCATGTGTAGGTGTGTTTAAGAATGTGCTCAACACAAGAGACTGGAGTTCACATTCACTGTCCTGCAATCGTTCATTAACATTAACTTAACTTGGAAAAACTACTGTCCACCTAGGGGAGAAACCAGATCAGCAATATGTTGTTGTTGTTGCTGGGTATTTGGACTTCTTTTCATTTAGGTATAAGAGACACACAGGGTGGGATAACAGCCGACTCTGGATGTGTTATAATCTCGTAGTCCCAAGCTCCCCACAAGCTCCCTGAGCTGTCAAAGAGAGGATGTCGGGGTTAGGGGGAGGACTCCTGCTGGCCTCCTGTCACACAGCTGAAAAGACATATCCACTGCAAAATATCACAGTGGGAGAGGAGGGACAGAGGGTGATGGACTTGGATGAAAGTAAGGTGAAAAAAAAAACAAAAAACAGAAGGCAGCAGCGGAGATGGGTAAGTAGGTAAGAAGGAGAGCAATAAAAGTGAGCTGAGCTGCTTGTTGATCTGCTGAATACAGGCTGCAGACGAGACAGACCTCCCTCTCATTAAAGGATAAGGCTGGCCTTACTCTTTATATTCT